CTCTACCTCGCGGGACGGCTTCAGAAGCCGGTGAAAACCATTAGAGACCACCCAAAAGTCCGTCTTGCGAACCAAGTGAATCTTCTTTCAGCAGTCCGCGTGGCACTGCTTTTATTACCACCGAAATTTACCGAACAGCAGCTGTATAGCACCATCGCGGGCATTAGTTATCTGGGTGACCCACGGATGTCTTTTGCCTCGGAGGATCCGCGTAAGGTCAATAACATTGTAACCTCGCAGATGACCAACTTTCGACGTCTATATGCTCCCTTGATCGAGACGTTGCCAAATGTTGCTTTCAATGACCCACAATGCGCCCGCTTAGATTGGGTGGATAACCCGGAGGTAGACGCTTGGCTAGCTCAAGATATGGACCCGTTCAAACGAGGAAATATGGTTCGAAGACTTCCTCAGTCCTTCCGTGAGAAGCTGTACTTCCAATTCCAGTCAAGATACCAAATTCCGAGGGTGGAATTTGATAAAATGATGGAGAAAAGCAACGACGAAGACCCCGAACGTGTCCATCGTCGAGTAGGAGGCATATTCGAGCAAAGGATTGCTGCTGACGAACACCTCAAGGACGAAGCAACTAAGTCCATCAGGAAGACCATATCGTGGCCTAGTACAAACCAGAGTATAAAGAGCTTATTCACCGCCGGCCTCGGAAGAGGATGGCGTTATATGAAAGAGAAACAACAAAAGTACGCCTCCGCCAAACAGGAGACGGAAGAAGCCACAACCAGTCATTCTAAAAAGGAGTGAACTAGGCAATTTCTTTTTGAGAACTATATACCTATATGTTATTATTAATTTGGCCCTGGATGTGCATACTCGAAGGTGTTTGGCGTTTGTAGCTTGGGATATGGATAAAGATAATAGAAATCTATTCAGATAGACATAGTAGTGCCATTGTTCGGTGATAAAAATAGATATCAGAGTGCCCATCTCATATTTGCTTTCTCCACGATGACCTCAACATTTTACTCGTTTTGGCCTGACGGGTGTTTTATCCTGCCCCTCTTCGAGTCATCGATTTGCGTTCAGAAACTCAATCTTCACCCCGCCACTCCGGATAACAATAAAGATTTCCCCCTTCCTTACTATCAAACAACTCCACCAGCG